ATTCCATTTTATCCTTTCAAGTCATGCAATTTCTTCTTTAAAACGTCGTACTTATTTATATAAGTAGAAGTGCTAAATTGTTATTACTTGCCATTGCAAGAAGTGCTAATCCTCCCAACACCACGGCTTATTTGGATTGTAGTGCAGTCCAATGCGGTAACATTTATTTTGGCGTACGTTTAGACTAAGTGGAAGTCTTCGACTGATGACCAAAGTGAAGATGACGAATATGAGAAAAAAAGACGTGCTACTCAACGCGAACAGGATAGACGTCGAACAGAGGCGCTGAATAGAGCGTTTGCTCAACTACGAGCCTCCCTTCCTCATGTACCACAAGATACCAAGTTGACAAAACTGAGAACGTTGCGTATAGCTATTGCATACATTCGACAACTTCAGACTGTGGCCCAGCTACAGAGTCAGGACGATCATTCTTCCTCCCCTTCCTCCTTTCCTCCACCCCCATCACCACCCTGGGCACCATGACAACGCATATGTTCGCCACCCCTGCCGCCTGAGTGTTCAAATCAAAGATAATTTTGAAGTGGTAAACGCTTTTCATCACTCGGTAGGATTGATAAAGCTAATTCACATCGTTCCAATTAACAGCAAGCGTAGATTTAATTATGAGGGCTCCTCAACTCCATCAGAAAATCATATCATTGGATGAAAGAACTTACATCTAAGGGGATTACAGTGCCCTTTTTTTCATCTTCTTCCTGTACGCCTGGGTATTCATCTCAGCCGTATTGTCACGAAACTGTGGTGCCATTACTGAAATAATGCAAGGCACAGTCGCAGCCTTTATGAGGACGGAAAGTAGTGGACGAAGCCGAGGGGGCTAAAACTGTAATTTCAGACACAACACGTCTGGAAGTCCTTACTCTGGGCACAAATGGAGACAGCCAACTACGAACACTTACGAGACTAGATTAATTGCCAGAATATCCTCACCGTAACTCGTGTCTCATCCCACAGCCCACCTCTCCCTACCGTCGATGAGGAAGTACCGACCTCCAAGTGAAATGGCACAATCGGATTTCGTCGATCCTTCTGATGCACTTCCTGGAGTTCTGCTATTTAATTAACTCTCCTAAGCACTTCTAAAGGGAAGGTGGAGGTGAAATACACTACAATAGGTCTTCAAGACATTTGATTGCTTTGCCTGTCCTCCGATTTGGACTGACATACCCTGCATGGCAGTGTCACAGGGAGGTATAAAATCGACGTCTCCCCTTCACGTCAAGCCAACAATCGCCTTTCACACTCACCCTACTGCCAACACCTAAGTACAATTACTTCCAGCTTGATAAATTTGGTAAGCTCTGAAAGTGATTTCCATGACCCTCTTTAACCCTTGCCAAAGCCATTCTCCCCTCTGCTACACTCGGTTGTGTGTTTGAATTTCCTAGACAACTTTTAAAGGTTGAAATAACAAACCTTCTAAGGATAAGGGCGTTTAGAACGTGAAGTTGGTTTATCGGGAGCAGAATGGAGTTTCATAGAATTGCGTTTTCAGATGGAATAGATGACGAAATTTTTGGACGGAATGACGGAATGGAGAGGAGAACAAATGACAATACGAAATTGACCATAGAAAAGATGTGAAAGTTAGTACATCCTTTAAATACCTTTTTGCCACTAAAACGGAGGAAATCATTGCATCTACGGTCACTTCCACCTCCATTTGCACTGAAATTTCCATCTGTTTGGTGTTAATGTAGCCTTCAACTGCACAAAGTAAGGAGAATTGGCATGTAGGACAAGAAATGGCAGCCTGTGGAGATAAGGCTGAAATGGCGCCTTCTTTCTTCCCCTCCTTCTTTGTGTCTCTTAAAGTGGGAACTCTCCACTTTCAAGGTGAGTCGTGTGGCCCTCGTGAAGTGAATGGTTTGGCAAGGCAAAACGTTGCGACAGGTCACCTTGCTTTTCAAGGGTGTCACAGCCTCCCCTCATTATCATACGTTCATCACTTATTGGAAACCTCATGTTGAAGCACGATGTGACAACGTGGATGAAGTCGATGTCGAGCGTCAGGACGATGAACGAGAGATTATGACGTGACGCTTATGTTGGTGCAAAAGTGACGATTTCACTGCTCACACTGATCGCTACACATGTTTTAATTTTGTCAAATCGCTTTCTACAACGTTTTGTCTTTCAGGACTAAACATTGCACACCAAACCCCTCCAGAGTTAGTCCAGTTTGTGAAACTGACACCCTCAAAGTCCACTCCATTGGGTTGAAGGGAAAGTTAAAAGTGGATGATGGAAAGGCGGTAGTACATGCATAGCTGCGTGACTTTTGTTCGCCTCTTTCACCTCAACTGCGAGCTATTCCACTCCATTTAAGACGCCTTTCAGAGAATTAAAGTGTCTTCGTGTCCAGCCTACACACAAGGCCAAAATTTGCCCAAAATTTCACTTTAACAACTAACCTTATGGTGACTATATACGCAGCACAAAAACAAGACGTTGCTCACTGCTTTTTGTCTGCAGCAGCTGTTGAGACAATGCAGAGGGAGGTCATGGCCAAACCTCCTCCATAATGGAATACTTGTTCTTCCTTCCGAGGATGCGATTCAACTGTACTGCCAACTTTGACTAACTTTACAATTCGCTTATGTAAACACTGATTGGGGCTATTAGCGGCACCTGTCAGTCATACACACGTGGGCACCCAACTTGCCAGTCATTACGGCTTTAGTCACCACACCCGTGTGCACTTCTAACTGGTGATGCCTCAACTCCGACACTTTACCACACATACACACAAAAAAAGGAGAGAGGAATTGCAGTAGGAGGTTACAACATTCTCGTCCTTACCACTGGTTCAGCTGTCAAAGTCACTGCCTTCCCTCCATTCGTCTTTTGGCATTGGTAAAACAGTCAAGACATGAGCACATAAAATCGGATGTATCACTGTCTGGTGGACGAGTTTGAGTGAATGCAAAAAGGGAAGCCTTGTAAAGCGACACCCATGATTTTGTACATGTGATCACTTGTGGAGTGAGAGCATGTCAAAGCACTTGCAGACATGCCTCTGAGGCGACTGTCTGTCATTGTTGATGCAATAGACTCTGTTGTTTTGTCAAAGTTAAAAGTGGTGCCGATTCCACATGCTTGTACAGGGAGACGACATATGGTGAGATTTCCTTCAAAAAACAAACCTCTTCCTCCCCTCTCTTTCCTTTCCTGTATAAAACAATGCA